TTCCTTTACTATTTTTTTATTTCGCTCTCTGTGAGCGTTAAAAGTTGTTCGCACGAGGTAATTTTGCGTTCAATTTTTGCGTTCAACTCACGCGGGGTTGCACTAAAAAAAGTTGAATGGCTAAATTTTGGCTGGCGACCAACTTTGTTGGAAGCGATTAGTTGAATGACCGTCCAACCAAAAGTATAATGCAAAGTCGAACAATGCAAACGCCTGTTTATGGCGAATATTTCGATATTTTTTTATATTTTGATATTTTTAACCATTCAATTTTTTCGTGCAACCCTCCGAAAGTTGAACGCAAAAGTTGCCTGAAAAATCGGCTCGTGCGAAAGCCCCATTCCATGATTCTCTCAATTTCCCCATTCTTCTTCTTCCTGATAATTTTCTGCTAGAAAAGAAAAGAAACAAAGCCTATTACTATTGATCAATTGCGAACCATCAGCTGGAAAGAACAAGAAGGTAAACAAATAAGAAATTCCAAATGTGCAAAAATTTCTGATAAAAGTCGAAAATATAAAAAAATGGGTATCGTTGCTTTGCTTTTTATAATACCGGAAATGTTGAAGAGGGTATATCACAAACTCCTCGGATTATTTGAATCAGTTGACACCCCTAAACTGCACTCAGCTAACGCCTCTGTCCCTATGGACAAAACTTATAGAAGCTGCACCCTTCCTGGGTCTCCAGTTAGTTGAGCTTGACGACAACGGTTGCGGCACAAGCCGGGCCGGACGGGATTGAAAAGCCGCTACAACAACACAACATCGTAGATCCGTTATTTTGTCGGTAATAAAATTTGCAGTATTAAGGTTGCTTTCCTTTGCAGCGATCTGCAGATGTCTGTAGTTTTAGAAAAGATACTCGACTATTATGAAGCATACTTTATACTTTATATACTTTGTCCGAAATGGTTATTCCCGGATTTGCAGAATGAAGAAGACAGAAACAAAATTGCCATATACTCCCAGCAAAGATTCGCAACATATTTATTTCGACAGAATGGGCTTTTTTAGACATCACCAATTTGTAAGTATCTTAAGATCTTCAAGGTCTTTTAATGATTTAATTTTTTAACGTTATTTTATTGCGGTACGATATCCCGTAGCATGTCAAGATGCAGCGATCGAAGACTATTGCTGAATCTGGAGAAATTATGCTCTACGCTTTTCTCAATCTAGCACTCTATTAAAGAAATGCGGAGCCAACTATGCGCAAATAAAAATTGCTGAAGCTAGAAGTAGAAACAGCGTACTATCACACCCTTTGCGCAGCTTGGTAGTGGACTAACTTCTCAAATTCGTTCGTGAGTACCTCCTTTGACGTAATACAAAGAAGTATTAACGAACGGTTGGAGCGTCGAAATGGATCTTCATATAAACCACTTTAATCCCACGACAGTCGGGTATACGTAACCGGAACGACCCAGATTTATATCTGACCAAGGACTGTCACTCCAGCAACACTTCCCAAAAAGTCTTTGGGGAACTTGTATGCTGCTACAACAACAACAACAACGGCCATCGGGTTCTTTAAAAGAATAAACTATCTTTCTCTGAGAAAAATAACAGTGAATGATGCCAAATTTAAGTTTCAATCGTCGGGAAAGAAAGTATTGGAGTTGTAACCCCGAGATCCTGAAATGGGTGCACACAATGACAGCACGACTAGTAGTGACTAGAGGTTGCCGGGCAGCTGCTTGGACTTCGATATTTACGAATTTATTAGCGTTGAAACTGTCGCCCATCACAATTCAGACTGGCAGGCGCGATGGGCACATACCCGACGACAGGACAGGAGGTCGTCAAACACGATGAAAAGGTATCGCCCTTCCGTGTTGCCGCTACAAGGTAAATCTCCCCATCGAGCGCACTTTCTTAAACATTCCAAAGGAGGATTTTGGCAGAGAAAAGATCTTATCATCCACGAACTTAGAAAAACTATTAACCCAGCCCTCACAAAGCTTTTTTCTTCAGAGATAATATGAAAAAAAAAAATTTAAAACCACTCCATTATGGAGGGACATATACCCAGCAAATATTAAGGTTAGTTATTAATTAGAGAATGATTGGAGAAATAGCCCCATTCTCCGCTCCAATGTTTTTATCATGGTTTTACCTTTAAGTGTTTTTATCATGCTCCCATCTCAAACGTTAGATATCGACTCGGAAAAACTATCGAAAATCATAGCGATCTCAACAAAAATGGGACATACTTCTCGACTCGAGAAAATATTAATTCTCGAATCGAATTCTAATATTAATCTCTAATGAGATTCGAATGTGAATTTCAAACTACTTTATTAAAAAAAAAACGCTTTGTTTGTAAGATTTGTATTAAATGTATTTGCAATAAAATAATTATGAATTATTTGAACTTAAAATTAATTTATGATTTATTCATTTGGAATATTGCTTATTTACATTTATTTGAATTTGCGTTGTTTCTCTAATCGTTCTCGAATCGAATTCTAATGGAGTTTTCTAACTTCGTCGTCGACTCGAGAACGACTAGAGAATTATCCTAGTTATCTTGTGTAGAAATCCAAATTTCTCTAACGTTAGAAACTGTGTTTGCTGGGTACTGGCAAGCATCATGCATTTGCTACAGAGACGGCTCCAAAACCCCAGATAGCGTTGAGGCAGGTATTTATGGCCTCCAGATGAGCTTATACATACGTGCCTATGAGAAAATACCGTAAGTAGAGAATTAATTAGTTGTTAAGATTTTGTGTTGTACAGTACGCGTCCAGAGAATTACAAAAACAAAATACCTTTGCGCAACCGCCGTTAGAGTCATTTGGTGTTAATTCCATACCATTTACTAAAAATCTCCAAACGAAGAACTTTGCGGCTTTTAACGATATTGGTTTGCATCATATTAAAAAACTATTAAGAAACAACCACCCAATTTAGGTCAGATGATCTTTACAACCTGAAAGGTATAGATAAATAAAAATTTCCGATCTTTTATGTACGCTTTGATAGACTCACGCAAGGTGCATGTGAAGAGGTGCTGTGTGTTGTGGGGACCTTGCCACATGCGGGGCAGGTGTTTGTGTTTTCTGTTTTAAGCCGAGAGAAGTAGCTGTTGAACTGCAAGTGGTTTTAATGATTAGCTGCTTTCATGGCAAAAATACACTCAAAGTTTCGCCATTGCTTATCGAGGCGCAACCGCCATTAGAAAATACTTGTTTGGATGTTTCTCGGATCAGGTATCGAACCCTGGATCTACGGAGTGATAGCTCACACCTCTATTCACTCGACCAAGGCGGCCTTGGCTCATACACTATCTCCAAAAGTGCATTACTTTCTGGGATATGTAGAGGGTACAATAGATCCTTAGGTCGTAGTGCATACCTCTTTACCGACTTATTACACAGAACTTGGATAATGGATATATGTACACTCATAGCCGATTGTAGATACCAATTGGAACCGTTTTTAATGACACTTTATCCTTACTATGAATTGGCCTGGAGCAAATACAACACTGCTTATTTTAAATGCCGGGACATAGTGGAAAAAGTATTGGTGTCATAAACATATACTTTATTTCGGGCAATACGCTGCAGAAGAATCTACACGAATTGTGAATGTATGTAAAGATACCTCCCGGCCTGAACGAGACAGAGCTTCGTCTGCACAAATTCGCTCTACTGCAGCAAGCTAAACTTTTACCGAAGCTGGATAAGTACAGATGTGTCCAACGAATGCCCGGCATGCGGAGAGTCGCCTCACAACTGGCGACACTCTACGCATGCCGCCTATACTCCACTCAACTAACGTCCTTGTTCCTATACACCAATCGAGTCGGAGTTACACTCTTTTTGGGTGTCCCGTTAGTTGAGCTTGACGACAACGCTTTAGGGACAAGCCGACATAGGCAGGACTAAGTAAGCCGCTACAATAAGCCGAAATTTAGAGTAGTCCAACTCTGTTCTGATAGGTGCAGCCGGCTACACTCTTATAGATCCAGTCCAGATATCAAAATAGCAGACAACTGCCTCCCACCTTGTGAAAATGGCTCTCATAACACCGCCCACCAGCAGGAAAACGCGCGTCCTGGGGCTGAAACTGGAGTGGATGGATGAGGAATATTATTAAACACTAAGGCTGGTGTCTCCAATTCAACTTAGTTTAGCCAATTTTTTGGACTTAGTCAAGAATAAGCTGAATAAAAAGTAGGCTAACTTTTGACTTAAGTCCAAAAAATGGCTAAACTAAGTTGAGTTGGAAAAACCAGCCCTACGCGTAGGCAGATTTGTATGTGGATTTGGACGAATTCCAGCAGTGTCGAAATATTGAGAAAAGCAAGAGAGATCCGATAAAAAAATGTACTCAAAATGACAATTTGACTTTTCAAAATTCAGGAGCGGCCATGATTCAATAATTAATTTATTATTGAATCATGGGGGCGGCTTCACAAATTCTGATTTAAAAACAATTCATATGAAAAATTAACAAAAAATAAAATTTTTGTAAATCTGCGAGAAACGCTGCGGCCGCTGGTGATGGCAGAGGATAAAAATGCCTGTTAGAGAAGGACTTGGCATAAGTTTGCATTTCCCATTGGCGCCATTAGCATAGAAGGAAATCGAATAGCGTGCTTTATTGGATTCGGCCAATATCCCAGCCAGCAAGAAAACGTACATTTTACGAACATTATGTTTTACGAGGGATTCTCGTATCGCCAAAAAGTTAGAGAAAAGCTCGTAAACGATAAAACAAAAAAATATAATAGAAAGAGGCTTGTAATAATTTGTCAGCACAAGAAAAAATTTTAGTTTTGTTGACAATTTTTCTTCAATCACAATATTTTATAAGTAAGTAGTTTGTTAAATATTTAATTTAAGAAAATTATTAAGTATGTGATTTATTGGCAGACTGGTGCAAACGCAAAGGACGATCTACCACTTTCTTAAACCTACCACTTTTCTTTTTCAGAGGTGATTGCTTTAAGGAAAGAAAATGGTACCCTTCGAAACAATAATAGACCAACCATTGCAGAGGGCGTCCTGCCAAGAAGCCCATTTAAGGAAAAGCATGCATTTATGGAATTTGAAAAAGACCTTGGGAGTTCAAGTGAAAAACAACAATTATTGGTAACTAAAAACATAAATTAACCATAATAAAATAATTTTTATTGCATTCTTTAAACGCTTTATAGGTTTCTGAACTCGAAGCTATAAATATTTTAAATGTAGATAAATGTTTAAGAACGTACTGGCGGAAAATTATTACAGATGAGGTAGCAGAACTTTTCTCGTGGAAGGGAACTGGTACCAAATGCAACGCTATTGGTTTGGCGACGACGGCGGCAATAAGAAGTACTGACTATAATATTATTTATTACCACTTTTTATTTAATTCAATTTTCCAAAAATTATAAATTCAGCTACTTTATAATATACATTAAACCCCTCTTATTTAATTGTTAATTTGGAAATAGATAGTTTGTTAATATTTATTTATCTGAAAATATCTTGACATATACAGTGCCGGAAAAAAATATTGGCACAGAGAATTTTTCGCCATGAATGCAAAGTTTTTTATTCTGATTTCTTCTCTAATTGTTTTTTATAAAAATATAGTTAGTAAGAAGTTCTACTTTCAAATCAGATTTTTAGAAAAATTTTAAGTATGCAGTTTTATAGCCCATTTAATTTTAGTATAATAAAGTGCACACTTGAATAGCTAGAAAACCTCTTTGTTTTTTGACAATTTTTTATACGCAGTTTCTTCCATACATAAAAAAAAAATGTCGCATATAATTTGCATGGAAGAAACTGCGGGAAAAGATTGCCAAAAATCAACTCGGTTTTCTGGCAACTTCAAGCTTGCACTATG